ACATTTCATTTTATTCCAACTTGTTTGCATGTGACTAATATTTTTGTACATCATGTTGGTTGTTTCGCTTTAATGGCCAGGAGCTCAGGTGTAGGGGACAGTTAGGTTCAGGGCCCCAGGTCTGGTAGAGTTAAGAATTTCAAGAGTGTTTAGCATGTGACATCACAATAACGGTCATAAGCTTAACACTCTTGACATCCCTAACAATAATAGTGACAGGTTATCAGGCAGTGGTATGGTCAATGTAATTTCTGTCACCTTTTAGAAGTTTTCATTTGAAGAACCCTTGTATTATTGTCAGGCCCAGACACAAAGAACTAAACATAAACTCGTCTATGAATGTCGTGTTACAAATCCCATGACAGACAGAAATAAAACAGCAGCCAGCCTAATTACCCGCTGCCCAGTGGTTTCGGTAACAGACTCAACAACACAAGTAATGGTTCTCTTCCTAGTTAATACAGCTTTGCTGTAAACAGACACAACATAATCAATGGTTATTTCCAAGTTAACACAGCTTCTCTCAAAACAGACACAACATAATCAATGGTTATTTTCCAAGTTAACACAGCTTCTCTCAAAACAGACACAGCACAACAAAATTTCTTGTAAAGCACACGAGGAGAAAAAAAAAAACTAAAGGAAATAAATGCCTCAAAACTCGTGAAAAAAAAAAATCAGCAGCAAATGTCACTTAGTTAAATAAACAAAACACAGAAGACACATAAAGTCTGCATAATTTATTGTCGGGTGTACTTCACATTATCTCACAGGTGCATACTACAGTAACGTAAATGAGATTTCCTAGTGTGGGTTATGATGTCCCATCTGAGGAAGGCAATAGAAATAATAGAACCACTGCCCCTTAAATAAGCATTTGATCCAAACAGCTTCTTCAACAAAAGAGTTCGCATGGTTAGAGGGAAAGAAAACAGTTAATTCTGTGCTCCATTTGTATTTACTGATAACCTCCCTTTATATAAAATTATATCCTTGCGTGGAAAAAGTATTAAAAAAATTTTTAAAATCTAATTTTTAGTGACTTGACAGCTGATATCGTAGTGGCCATCACAGTCGCATGTCTGCTTGGATTTTTATGAAAACTGAAAAAAAAAAAAAAAAATTTCTTCTTCTCTACCTTTAGTTTCTTAGGGTAGAAGTTTAAGAGAATTATAAGAAGGCATTTTTGATTTGTTCAATTTAAAAAAAAAAAGAAGGGCTTTATTTTGTAAAATTCCTATAGGGTGAAAGCAGAAGAAAAAGAAAAAAGATTTACTAACTGTATTTAACATGTTTAATTTCCTAATGTGGTATGCATCTGACGAGATAAAGCAAGATACACCGAAGGATAAATTCTTCAATCACCCGTCTGGGTTTCTGGGCCTCACTCTTTGGGGTGAACAAATATGACCCATCGTCTCTTAACAAGCAAATAATAAAAGATCCAGGGAAAGACTGGGGTCACAACCCGCAGCAGGAAACTGGATGGGACAACAAGCAAATTAAATGCAAATTAAAGGGGTGAGCCCACTCTCCATCTCAAGAGATCCTGAAGTCGGAAATACTACACAGTACAACACCTGCTACACATTTATATGATTACACTGCCAGACAAATTTAATGGTGCTCGCCCTGTGCAGTTCCACCAGATAGGTGCAGTGCCACCAGATAGGTGCAGTTCCACCAGATAGGTGCAGTGCCACCAGATAGGTGCAGTGCCACCAGATAGGTGCAGTGCCACCAGATAGGTGCAGTGCCACCAGATAGGTGGAGTATCACCAGATAGGTGCAGTTCCACCAGATAGGTGCAGTGCCGGGTTAGGAGCTGGACAGAATCTATCCCTAGCTACTGAAGGACCTTCTAGACCATCTTTGGGAGTCAGGAGAGAGCGGAGGATAGTTACTGACCAAAGATGACTAATTAAGGACTTCCTGAAATTGGATGTGTTGGGCCGAAGTGGGCAGATACTGTAGCCAAACTGTAAACAATGAAACAACATGCTAGCTGTCATATTAAGGGTGAATAAAAAAAATAAAAATAAAAAGAACTGCCATCTGGTGTGTCCTCTTTGTTCAAATTAACAACGAGGAAATACTGCTCTGGTCAGATAATTACCAATGCAGTGAATAAAGTCAGGTCTGAGTAAACAGCTTGATGCAGTAAATACACAGTTGAGGTAATTTGATTCAAATGCCTGCTAACAAAATAACATGATATGAAAAACATGATAACGATTGTCAACCAGACACAGATCTTTGACTGAATTTAAAAAGGAGGATTGTTAACTAAATTGGGGGGGGGGGGGAGAAATGTAACAATATACAGAAATTTGACAACATTTATAATAGAGGTTGTTATTCTTAGATATATAGTAATTATCTTGATATTGATTTGATCATCATAGCTGTGTTCTTGAAGAGAAATCATTTTAGAATCAAATCATAAATTGCCTTACAGACGACGTACCAACAGTCTGCACTGCATACAAATAACCTAAAACTAAAAAAAAAAAAAAAAAAAAAAAAAAAGGGATGTGCATGCAACTGGCTAACAACCAGAACTTTCCACCAGAGTTTACAGCCGGTGAACCAAGTCATTAAATTCAAGTATTTGGGGACATTCATAACATCAGATGGATGATGTGTGACAGAAATTAAGAGGGATTGGTCCAGGCAAAGGCAGCATTTCAGAAGATGAAAAGTATCTTATGTAATAAATCACTCTCATTAAACATTAGAAAACGAGTACTGAAGTGTTATATCGAGCCTGTTCTGTTGTATGGCAATGAATCTTGAACTGTGAGCAAAAGAATTAAGAACGCTTTGGAGGCAACTGAGATGTGGTTTTTGAGAAGAATGTTGCTAATACCTTGGATTGCCAGAATAACCAACAATGATTGCCTGGAAATGGCTAATGAAAGTAGAACATTATACACAACAATGAGAAGGAGACAAAGTTCTGTGGTCATGTGACGAGAAAAGGAGCACCGGAAATTTTGTGACAATAAGAAAGATCACTGGTAGAAGAGGCAGAGGCAGACCAAGAGAAATGATGGTGGATGGCTTAAGACAGTGGCATGGAGGAATAACATCAGTAGAATTGATCGAGAATACCAAAGACTTGTGAATCACTTGTGAAGATGCATAAACGCATAAGCCTGCTGACAAGACATTTGACAATGATGATGATGATGAACGCCAAGAAGAAGAAGAAGAGATTAACTGCTGTCATCACACATACACATATATCTTATGCATCATGGCAAGTTGTCTTAGTATTTTGCTTTTACATGTAGCTCATCCTGTTTCCTCTCCATCTTTTTTCATTTCCCTCTTTATATTCCTTTCTCCCAGTGTTTTCGGCCTGCCTTTATTTATTTGACTCTGTGGGCTCCAGTGCAAAAACATTCTTGTCATATTCTTATCATGGGAATATCCAATGTTCACCGATCGTAACAACATAAATTCTATTACCAGGATTTCTCCGTGTGGGCTCCGGAGGCCCCAATGTGGGGGAAAACAAGGATAGACCCAGTGTCTCCCCAACAAGGATGTTTAAGAGCCGACTAATTGGGGGTTTTCTTCGAAGCCGGAGCGCATCTGCCTGACATCAAGGAACCAACAGTCTGCATACAAATAAGTCTGACCTGTAAAACGGATAAGCACGCAACAAACAGGTTCTGGGAGAGGTGGATGAACAACCAGAACTTTCTGCAGGAGTTATCAGCCAGTGAACGTGAAGAAGAAGAAAAAGAAGATTACCAGGATTTCTCAATGTCTGTTCTATCCAGTGAACGTGAAGAAGAAGATTACCAGGATTTCTCAATGTCTGCTCTATCCAACACCAGCATCTCTTCCTCACCTGCTCATTCACTGGAATCTGTTTCTCTCCCAAAGCTCTACATTAAAAAATAACTATAAACTCTAGTGGAAAGTTCTGGTTGTTCATCCACTTCTGGACTTTGATCTTGTTCCAACCTTTGAGTTTTGCAAGCACATCTATTTACAGATCTGGCTTATTTGTAAGCAAACTGCTGGTTCCTCACCTCTCAGGCAGACACACTCAAGATCCTGATGGAAAAATCCCCTAATTAGTTGACTGACCTGCTTCTTGGGGGACAGTGGTTCTAATCTTATCTGTCCCCATAATGGGGCCCTGGAACCCTCACGGGTGAGGAATCAAGATCACTTTTGAAGAAAAAAAAATCGGCTACACTGAGGATTTAAACTCAATGCCTCCAAGCAAGCATCTAGCCACTTAGCTATAATGACTCCACCATTCAGTAAAGCTGATATATACTTGTGTTCTTCCATTAGTTAACTCTTTCGATACCAGTCAGTCAGTAGCATGTCCTTTACAAAACCTTGCTTCCATAACAACTCCCCGAAAAACTTCTCAATCACAAGCAAGATGTCCCGCGTCCCACACACCCATCTGGAGATCATCCTCCACATCCTGCACCCATCTTCTCTTTGGTCTACCTCTTCCTCTCTTCCCAGGCAAAAATCCCTCCATTATTGTTCTCTCTACACTTTCGTGATATTTCAAGTGAAAAAAAACATTTCAATTTTCGGTGTTTTATCGGCTTTAATAGCCAACCTTCTTCAATGTTCAGTTCTTGAAGTATGGATGACCTTGTTCTTTTCTTTACCCATGATATTCTTAGAACCCATCTATAACATTTGTATTCAAATGCATTCGGTACCAGAGGACAGTTAAATTAGTTATAAACAACTAATATTGAGTCCTATGGTACCACAAATTACCCTATTTTTCCCTGTATAAGATATATTTTCTTAAAATTGGGGGCTGTCTTATAGCAGGAATATGTTTAAAATTGTCACAATTCTGGGCTATAAAATATGGGTTCTCGTATGCATTAAGGTGTCTTATGCATGGAAAGTTACGGCAGTAACATTAAATAGTGTGTATGAGACCCAAAACAAACACACACAAAACAACCACAAACAGCAAGCGGTAAAGCCATGAGTCTATATGATCATTTTGGTATGGGTTTTATCAGCACGGCCATGTTCTTGCACTGCTCCTGATTGGCCACGCCGACACTCATGGTGAGGTGGTTGCCACGGCTACAGACAGTGACATCCGACTCTTCTACCTGGACCACTTGGTCATTCTCATTGGTGATGATCAGCGCTGCTTGAATCTGGGCTTCTCCTCCAACCAGAGCCGACTCATGGCAGTACAGCTGGCAGAGTAAGCATTACACATTCAACGGCTTTCTTGTTTTACATTTAACAAAAACAAACAAACAAAAAAACCTATGTTTAATTTTAAAAACAAAAGGCAATCCATACTGCTGCAAGGATGTGTTGAGTTTCACATACGCTAGGTCTTGCATTCCTTCTCTCCTCATGAGGGTTCCGGACCCAATTGTGAAGTGAGGGGAGGGGTAAACCCACTGCCTCCCTAATAAGCATGTCATAGGAGTCAACCAGTTGGAGGGTTTCCTTCGAGTCAGAGTGCATCTGCTTGAGAGACAAGGAACCAACAGTCTGCATACACATATGCTGGATCTGTGAAACATATGTACATGCAAATCGGTTCTGGATTGGGACTAGGGTCCAGGGGTAAATGAACATCCAGATGTTTCTGCCAAAGATTACAGCTGACGAACGCAAAGAAGAAGATATTTTTTCTCAGGGACTAAATCTAATTCACGACAAGCCAGATGTTATTAAGGGCCTTTGGAAGTGACTGAACAGAGCAGAGGCACAAGTAGATCACCACCACCTGAACAGAATGGCGTAATGGGGAGTAACCAGGAAATCTGGCTGACACTCAACACTTAGTGAAGAGCCCAGACTGAAATACTCACTTGTTTTTGTTTTATATATATATATATATATATATATTTTTTTTTGGGTGGTTTTAAAATACCAAAGAATTGGGTGAAAATTCAACAGAGCATCACAATACTAGGTCACAGTAGACTAAGATGAGGTCTTACCATGTGGGTTTCGGGGCCCCCATTTGGGGTGATGGGGAGGGGGGGGGGGGAGAATACTCACTGCCCATTAATAAGCAGGTGGCGCAAAAGGCAACTAATTATTAAAGGTCTGCTGAAATCAGGTTGCCTTGGTCCAAAAGGTGCAGATATCGCAGCCTAGCTGTAAACCACAACACCCTTTTAAGCACGGGTTGCTGGGAGATTACAGTATTTGCCTTAATCTCAGAAGTAATTGGGTTTAAATCCCAGCATACAGTTCTGTATTTTTGCAGCACCCAATGGGAAGCAAAGAAACATAATACTCTAACCCTGTGGTTCTCAACTTTCCTAATGTGGCAACCCTTTAATACAATTCTTCATGTTGTGGTAACCCCCAAACATACAGCTATTTTCATTACTACTTCATTACTTCAATGAATATATGTCTTCTGATGGTCTTAGGCGACCCTTGTGGAAGGGTCATTTGACCCCCAAATGAGTCACGACCCACAGGTTGAGAACTGCTACTTTAATCTACTTTAATGCATGCCATAAGATGCAACAAAGGAGGCTTGGGGTGATACTGGCTACCTGTCTATTTTAATTCTTTTCACAGGGGTCTCTATGATGAAGTGCCATTTGTCTTGTGCTCCGAAGGCTCTGGTTTTCATGTCAAGATAGCGTTGTTCGGTTCACTAGTGCAATTTTTATGGAGATCCCTGGGGATTGTTGCCTGAGCTACAGAATTTGTGCTTTGTGTGATGTTCTCGGAAGGTGGCTATGCAGTGCAACGAAGCCGATTCTCTCGACTCCAACCAATATCCTTGTTACGTCGTCGTTAACATATAAAGCAATGACAAGAGATCTCCCATGCTACAGCCAGTCTGCTGCTTCTCTGCCCACTGTTTACCCATACCAGTATATATTCTTTCATGTCTTTTTCTACTGTTCTTCTCCAAGTCTACTTAGGTCATCAACATCTTTTCCCATCTGCCATCTACCAGAGGCTATCCTTGCCAAAGTGTCCCAAGGTACTCTGCAAACATGTCCAAGCCATCTCCATCTTCTTCCTTTGATGTTTGCCAGGAACTAACATTTTTAAGACTGGCCAACTAATCCTACAGAAAACTTACCTATACAATCCAATCAATCATATACAGGTCTATTAAGGCCTTAGGTCAAGAACACAAGATATAAGATTTTTAAATGTAGACAAAACATAACAGAAACAGTGCTGGTGAAGAATGAAGAAAAAGGAACACAAAAATAAATCAGACATGCATTACAGTATTTCCCCAAGTATAAGATGCACCTTGAAATTTGGATAAGAAATTTAGACAAAAATTATATGATTACAAAAAGTTACTTAACTCATTGTAACTTGTCCTCATCTATGTCTGAGACCAATGACTGTCTTCATATACACTGCCTCATCCTCAGTTCCATCTCAAATGACACACTTTTGAATGACTTCATAACAATCTACTACTAGTGTATAAGGTGCACACTGTTTTTAGACCCTACATTTCTATAAAATAAGTGCCTCTTTTATTTGGGGAATTACGGTAGTTTTTTAATGCAAAACAGACATAGAAGTTGAATAAAGGAAACAAGATGAGAAACAACAGAAAAGACAAACAAACACGCAGATACAACACAGACAGCACTGATATTACCTGTATGGTCCACGTGTCATTAGACTTTCTATAAGAGATCTTCCACTCGCCGTCTCGAGCCATGGATGGTACAGGTCCGACATAAGTTCGGACATCCACCTGAATGCCATATCTCAAGGTGTTCTGCATGCGGACCTAAAGAGACGGACAGATAATTTATTAATCTTTAAATCAATTTCGTAAAAGAAAATGTATGTTTCCGAAGCAGCAGAACGATGTCGCTCAAACCAAAGAAAACTAACTCACAGTTGTTCTATATTTAGCTATCTCCTTCAGCTCCATCAATGTTCACCTCCCTGACACTCTGCCCTTCCAGCTTAACAGTACAAGCACTTACTGTGTCCACTGACAAATCCAGATAATTCCTTGGCCGGTAAAAGTCCTCTGCAAAAGAAACCCCAATCTCTGCCTGCTGGGGACACAGTGAACGGAATCTGTAGGCTCTGTTGATGAGGTGGTCCAGTAGAGGACCAAGCTCTTCATGTCTGAACATCTCACACTGTTCCACTTCATAAAGCTCATGAACCTGTAGGGACACAGAGAAAAACACTACTAGAAGTATGCAGCCAAACAAAATACTGAAAATTGTTCTTCTTCTCCTTCTTTGTTTCATCAGCTGCAAGCTCCAGCGGAAAGTCACGGCTGTTCTTCCATTTGGACTTTTGCTTTGTGCCAGGGTCCGAGTTTGGCATGTTCTTCCATTTTACTGGCTTATTTATGTGCAGTTGATTGCTCTCTGCCGCCTGGCTAGATGCACTTCGACTTCGAATGAATCCCCCAATTAGTCTATTCCTATGACATGCTCGCTGGGGAGACAGTGGGTCTATGCTTGTTTTCCCCATAATAAGGCCCCAGAACCCACAGGGGGAAAAATCATTACAACTGTGATATAACAAATAACAATGGCCTCAGGCAGTGCAAAAATAGTGTTTTCTACACTCAGAGACCCCAATCCACTATCCAAAGAAGAAAACATGTTTAAAACTGTTTTTTAATCTAGAGACCCTTCCTCATATGGGGAGAAAAGAACAGACCCACTTCCCCTAACAAAGAATAGACCCACTTCCCCTAACAAAGAACAGACCCACTTCCCCTAACAATCAAAGAATAGACCCACTTCCCCTAACAATCAAAGAATAGACCCACTTCCCCTAACAATCAAAGAATAGACCCACTTCCCCTAACAAAGAATAGACCCACTTCCCCTAACAATCAAAGAACCGACCCACTTCCCCTAACAAAGAATAGACCCACTTCCCCTAACAATCAAAGAATAGACCCACTTCCCCTAACAAGCAAAGAATAGACCCACTTCCCCTAAGAAGCAAAGAACAGACCCACTTCCCCTAAAAAGCAAAGAATAGACCCACTTCCCCTAACAAGCAAAGAATAGACCCACTTCCCCTAACAAGCAAAGAACAGACCCACTTCCCCTAACAAGCAAAGAATAGACCCACTTTCCCTAAAAAAGCAAAGAATAGACCCACTTCCCCTAACAAGCAAAGAACAGACCCACTTTCCCGAACAAGCAAAGAACAGACCCACTTTCCCTAACAATCAAAGAACAGACCCACTTTCCCTAACAATCAAAGAACAGACCCACTTTCCCTAACAAGCAAAGAACAGACCCACTTTCCCCTAACAATCAAAGAACAGACCCACTTCCCCTAACAATCAAAGAACAGACCCACTTCCCATAACAATCAAAGAACAGACCCACTTCCCCTAACAATCAAAGAATAGACCCACTTCCCCTAACAATCAAAGAACAGACCCACTTCCCCTAACAATCAAAGAATAGACCCACTTCCCCTAACAATCAAAGAACAGACCCACTTCCCCTAACAATCAAAGAACAGACCCACTTCCCATAACAATCAAAGAATAGACCCACTTCCCCTAACAATCAAAGAACAGACCCACTTCCCCTAACAATCAAAGAACAGACCCACTTCCCCTAACAATCAAAGAACAGACCCACTTCCCCTAACAATCAAAGAACAGACCCACTTCCCCTAACAAGCATGTTGTAAAAGGCGACAAATAGGGATCTGCTTAAACTGGATGTGTAAGAGCAAAAGGTACACATATCACAGCCTGGCTGCTGATTTCCTGTGTGGGTTCTGGGGTCATATTATAGGGAAAACAAGAATAGACCCACTGCCTACCCTAAAGCATGTCATAAGAGTCGACAAAGTCAGCGTGCATCTGCCTGAGAGGCAAGGAACCAACAGATTGCGCACAAATGTGTAAGAGTTGTCAAACGGATGCACATACAACAATCAGGTTCTGGAACAGGACTGCCTTCCACAAGTGGACGAACAATCAGAACTTTTCACCAGAGTTTACAGCTGGTGAACAAAAAGAAGAAGACAACCTGGCTGTAAACTACAACATAACGTGATTACATATTTCAGGTTTATCACAAAAAAAGAAAAGACCCCCAAATACAATGTCCAAAGGAGAAAACGGTATTTAAACCAATACTTTACAGTCCAACACCCCTTCCTCCACGCGACCCCCCCCCCCCTTCCCTAAAAAATTACCAAAGACAATATGTACCAAGGACAACCCACCTGCATCTGCGGAAATCTGATCAATGGCAACAGTTTCCTGACATGCTCCGTGTACTTCTCCACATGCTCCTCATGCTGCAACCAACTGCCTAAAGCCTTAAACAACAGGAACTCCTTTGGAATGACCAGGTCTCCATTCTTCAGCAGATCACTCACAAAATCAACGTCCATGTGGTCCCATTCTGAGGAGGTCAGCAGCTGCTCTGCATTCCAGGCAATGGTTTTGGAGCACTGAGTTATCAGTTCTTCCATGTGGAGTGCTTTGGCCCAGGAGTACCAGCTCAAAGCATTCTGGACTAGAGGTGATCTGCGAAGTATTTGTACAACACAGCTCAGTCAAAAACAATTTTACTTGGGGGGGGGGGGGGGGGGGCTGCATGGTCTCAAGGCATGGTGGCCACCTCGAGTGCTAGAAGTTTCGGGTTCAATCCCAAATAAGAGCTGGGATTTTTTCACCTGGACTTGGACTTCTAGAAATTCTCTTTGGTCTCTGGGTAGTGAGATCAGAAGCCCGTGTGCATTGTTGCGCATGTAAAAAAATCCCTTGGCAGTTGAAATCAAAAAGAATAGCTTAACAGCGCTGCCCGGGCAAAATTTGAAGTTAAAAATCTACCCAAAGTATTTCAAGATCCTCGCTGGTGCAACAGAACCTGTGCACTGTGCTGAGCTTCTTCGGATTCAGACTTGAGCCCGAAGAAGAACGGAGCACTTATGGATTACTACCCGTGTGCCATGATGTTGATCTGTTGTTCAAATGTTCAAAACCTCAAAACTAAATTTTACTGGATAAACTGCCTGTATCAATCACCTGTGGTGTAGGCAGAGAGTGAATCCTCGAGCCTGAGAACGTAGAGCCGCATGGCTAGTGCTGTCGCCATAGACTGTGCAGGTTAAGTTTGTATTTTTTGCCCCTGACAATATACCGAATAAATGCCCAGCGTTCTGAACTGTTCAGCTAGCTACTAATACATGCATCAAATATTCAATGAACTTTCTTCTAATCATCATTATCATCATCAATTTGCACTTCTGCCATTAAGCGTTGTGGGAAGGAACAGTTTGCGCTCCACGGCTTGATCGGCAGCAGTGGCTATTGTCATTCCCTGTCGATGCAGAAGTTCTTTAATGTCATTCACTTTCTTAGTGCGTTCTGCGTGTTTTTGATCTTTACATTAATTCTTCTTCTTTGCTCACCCTTAAAAGGACAGCTGACCTGTTATGTTGTGGTTTACAGCTAGGCTACAAACCTTTCAGCCTAACATGCATGTTAAGTGTCAGTGGGTCTCATTTGTTTTTACCCTGGAACCCACATGAGGTTTCAACATCACATAACATTTCCAAGAGTGAGCTTTCTTCTTCTGTTGTCCTAATGCTTCTGCCACAGAGTGTAACAGAGAGGAGTTCTATGTAAGTTGCCTGTCTTTTGCCAGTTGTGTGGCTTGTGTTAATGTCATAATGCACTTCTGTAGTGTCTCTTCTATTCCCTCCACCCATTTCTTTCTTGGTCGGCCTCTAGTCTTGTAGTCTCATGTTCTCATGGATAATGCTCTACCTGCTGGCTGATTTTGTTCCATTCTGACTAGATGACCAAACCATTTGACTGCAGCAGCTCTGTTGTAAACAGGCACAACATATTTATGTCACTTGGATCAACAAAGACAAAGTTTGCAATCAGACAATACATCAAGATCTTGATACCCAATCCTTACAAACCTCAGTCATAGTTACGATGGTTTGGACACATATGCAGATTGGGAGAAAATCGGGTCCGCTGGGAAGACAACATCCGCCAGTTCCTAACTGAGAGAGGACTGGAATGGAACAAAGCCAGAAGGAAAACTGTTGGTAAAGACGTCTGGCAATCTCTCTGGCAAACCTCTACACCCCAAGGTAGAAGAGGAGTGACTAAGGTAACTAAGGATCAACGAAAAGAAGAAGAATTCTACTCAACTGTGTGGATTCTGGATATGCCAGCTCCGTTAATGACAAGAGTATCACAGTTGTACCACAACTAACCTGGTATGTTCCACCATGTACTTTGTGCATAAACTCTTCAGTGAAGTGACGCCGTACTTGTCTGCCAGACACAAAATCCCCACAGCTGACTTGACACTGATGACCACCTCTGCCGTGTACAAGAACCGGAGGAAGGTGTCAAAGTATTTCTGACACTCTTCGGTCTCCTCCAGTTCAATCTCCGGCAGCTCTGCCTGTGACCAATTCTTATTGTACAGCATTGTTCGAAAGACATCACTAGACTTGGCTAGCACAAATTTGTGGCCAAAGTATTTTTCTTTCCCAATCTGGAGGGCAGAGAAGAACGAAGAAACAAGGACCATGATAAATATCCACATATTCTTGTTTGCTTTTGAACACAAATAGTGGCTTCATAGTGACGCCATAACATCTAAGGATTTAAAACAAACAAAAAAACAAAACTAATTATTGTTAATTCAGGAACAATCAACATTCTGAATGAGCTGACGCAGTAAAGCTATGAAACCATAAAATAATAAATTACTACTTACACCAACAAATTGAAATTCTGGTGGTGACCTCTAGTGATTGAATTAACTGCATGTATATCGGTTTTTTTTGGGGGCGGTGTCCGTGGCTTAGGCGTTGCGAGTCTGACTCGTAATTCCAACATACCGTGATCGAAACCTAATGCTGACTGTGTGGATTTTTATCATGGTATAGGGCATTTGCAGGTCAACCAGCCTAAAATGGATACCAGGATGGATGTCCTAGGGAAGTAAAGACTGCCGGCGTAATGCTGACCACATTACCCACCTAGTGCCGATTGGTCTGTAAAAAAATGGATGCTCTTACCATATGTCGATGCGCCTAAAGGCGTGAAAATGGATCTTTACTTTTGTTTTTTTTTACTTTACATATTTTTTAATGTTGCCAGGGCTAATTATTTGCTCAATCCGGTTTTATGCACAAAACCAGACGAGACTGTGTAAGAAAAAAAGAGATTAGAAAAACTATTGAATAATATCCATCATCATTAAATTCAGTAAGAAATCAAGACTGGGCTAGTTCGGCCATCAAATGCTGCCAGCGGCGAGAGCCTGCAATTATGAAGTGACTTGTTTACCGTGAAGGTGACACCTCAATTACAAAATAAACTGCATTGTACTTGATCTGTAAAGTTAACATATATTAGCAATGTTCATTTGAAACCTGTTTGTGCAAGTAATTTATATGCGCCGAACATGATCATGTCATAGTCATGTACTAAGGTTTGAGGTTTTGAACAACAGATCAACATCATGACACACGGGTGTAACCCATAAGTACTCCATTCTTCTTCTAACTTAAGTCTAGTCCAAAGAAGCTCAGTACAGTGCACAGGCTCTGTAGCACCGGCGAGGATCCTAAAATAATTTGGGTGGATTTTTAAATCCAAATTTTTCCCGGGCAGCAACGTTAGGCTACTCTTATCGATTTCGAACTGCCAAGGGATTTTTTACGTGCACAACAATGCACACAGGCGTCCAATCTCACTACCCCGAGACCAGGATTAATTACTAGAAGTCCAAGTCTACATGAAAAAATCCCAGCCCTTACCTGGGATAGAACCTCTAGCACTCGAGGCGGACCTGGAGACCATGCAGCCCCCCAGTCATGTGCTAATTACTGACCAACAAATAAAAGAAGCTACTCACTTTCAAAACAACATCACTCATATCCTGCTGGTTGAAGAACTGGCCCACGTTCTGTATAAAGTTGCTTTCATCCCTCAACACTCGGGAGTCATTGACAGAAGCCTCGTTTGAGAACTCAGGCTGGCCAGGTTCCATCACCTGAGGAGGCCAACCATAGAACAGTGAATTAAGTGTTTAAAATGGTGTTACTACTAAACTGACTGCTCATGAAAGAGCAGTCACCGTAGGTATAATAATAAGTGCACTGGTTTACCAACATACTGACTGGTCTGGGATTATATTCTCAGCAAAGTTGAGTTGAGTTTCAAGAACTGACATCACAACACTTAGGACATTCCCACATGTGCTCTGTCCCCATCTTCAGCAGCCAATTAAGAGTCTCAACTCTAATGCTACCAGCAGATGTCCGACTGTATCTCCGTCTTACCTTTCTTTTAAGTGTGGAGTGTTGGCCAGATCACGTGGTCATCCACCCAGTGTACCATTCTCTTCAGACTGTGATAATCCGTTGTGCCTCTGCCCTGTTTACTTGCTACCAAAGGACCTTGACATCATCTAGCTTGTTATGCCTCACCACCGAATGGTGCAGAAACAGCCAGTTTATCTGCCTGTTCGTTTCCCAACACACCTTCATGCCCTGGAGAAAATACCCAAAGGATACCAAGTACCCTGGACCTCTGAAGTCAAGCTACCACACCTCCCTGAGCATCCCTGTCTCCACCTTTCTCTCATGCTTTGTGAGTCAGTTACAATCACAACTTTAAGGGCACTGGTTTACCACCATACTGGTCTGGGCTGAAATTCTCAGTAACAGAAAGAGATGTTATGTTTTCATAATCAACATTAGTGCACACACTGGGACTCTCATGCATGCTTAGTCCTCTGATGCAGCAGCTACTCCAAGGTACCTCTTCTGATTGTTCTGATGCACATCCATTTTACAGATCTGACAAGTGTGCAGACTGTTGGTTTGGTTCATTACCTCTTAGGTCAATGCAGTATGTCTTCAAAGGAAACACCCCTGATTAGTCATCTCCTACAACCCTGCTTGTTAGGAGTCAGTGGGTCCTCCAAGAATGGGGCCACAGGGGATGGCACAGATAAAACTCAACCCCATAATTAGCCCAGGACCCTATATTCAGCCAAGGGACCCTATAATCAGCCCAGGAACCCCATAATCCACACACAGAACCCATAATTAGCCCAGGTACCCCATAGTCAGCTCAGTGACCCCATAATCAACCCAGGGACCCAGTAATCAGCCCAGAGACCCAGTAATCAGGCCAGGGACTCTATAATCACCTAAGGGACCCCATAATCAACATAGGGACCCCATAATCAATCAGCCCAGGGACCCCATAATCAGCCCACAACATAAGTATTATCATCTTTATGAAACACTTACGTCTCCACAGCCAGCTCTGTCACACTTCTCAAACTCCATATTGCCTCCTGCCCCAGCGGGTATGGCATCTTCTCCACCCAGATCACTCTGACTGCCTCTGTGACTCCCAGAAGCCCCACCTTGAATTCTGGCAGCAATGATACGCTGACTTGCTGCGACACCTCGTACGGGGGTACTCGACCTCTCTGCCACCTGTCGTATTGGTGGCCGCTGATAACTGGACATTACAAGACTCACACTTGCCGAGCTCTCTTTGACGGATATTTCGCAGGCATGACCAGAATGTTAATAAATATGGTTTTATAAGGTAGTCTCATGTGTAAATCTCTTGTCCAAGGTAGCGTGGACTCAAGCAATTATTATTATTATGATCTATACATTTCTCTGTCTCCATGTCTTATAAAACAGCTGCTGAAATGTGTTGAACTGTGAACATAAATATTAAAATATATATCAAATATTCTGGTAGTTTATTTTCTTCATCGCTGCTGCCGCTCTTCTGGAAATTCCTGTACAGAAAAACAGACATACCGGTAGCAAATGAGTTAAACCCTAGTCACAAAACAAATGCCAACTTTTATGCAGCTTCAGCCAAACATATCTGAAATATATGTATCCTTCCTGGGCAAGTGAAACCGTGTTGAGATTTACCGTCAGTGATAAATCTATAATTAAACTGTTTCTCTTCAAGATGTAAGAACTGCAAACAATTACCTGCCTTCTTTATACAGCTAAAAACTTATAATAGCAGGAAAGTGTATTCAGAATTTTTTTTTTTTTTTACATAATAAATTGCCACAGCAGGAAGGTACATTCAAAAGAATAATTTTCTTTTTTTAATTTTTTTTAAATTTTAGAAATAACAATGTGTATTCTTCTCAATGCGGGATTAAAGTTCTTTAACATTAAAGTGCTCTAACATAAAATAAAAATACAGCATTCTAAAAACTGGTACAACCAGTTTATGATTATACAACAGCAGATGCAGCAAGTGATAATTGCTAACTCAATGTGAGATAAAGAGTCATTCAAGAAGGCAAATCTTTACATAAGATTAAATTATTTTCTCCTTCTTCTTATGTCAAATCTAAAGATAAACTGTTTACCAGAATAATATACTGTATAATCTATGCAATATGTAATAACCAAACATAATTGTCAAGAATAAATGCTGAATATTGAAAAAAAAAATTTAAAAAAAATACATACAGCGTACCTCAGTATACGTACTTAATCTGTTCCAGATCCTTAGGCTTATACCAAACAGAACATATACCAAACAAATTTCCCCATAAGGTAAGGTAGGTAAGTTGTACCCTACCAGGACATCACACAAGCGATAAACACCCGGTGACACAAAGTGCCACCATGCGGATGAGGATCACCCGTGGAGAGGTCCCAGAAACCCCGTTCAGCCGTTAAGTCATACTGAGGCATTGCTATATTTAGGGCGCCCGGTAAAATCCCATTGATGGGGTTGTATAAAATAATTTAACCGCATCTTAATAATAAAATACATAACAACAAAAGCAATAAGAATAAAAATGAAAATATTAACCTCGTTTTTCATTACTGAGAAACACTGAGTGCCCACTGAGATGATAATGAGAATTGAAGAGAAGGAGATGTTTTTGTTAGGAAGGAGAGCCCCTCTAAAAAAAGCTTCAGGAATCTGAAATTCTTGGCTTTTTTTTCTTTTTCTCTTTCTTCTTTCTGTCTCTTTTCCCTTCTTAGATCTAGTTGAGGCTCAAGCGTGTCATGTTCTAAACGAAGGTTGTAAACCAAGCAAAGTTGCCCGCATATAAACAAGACATATACTGAGTTGGACGTATCAGAAATGTGACGTATATCAAAGTGCTACTGTGTTTATCGGTGTTTCCCAAACTTTTCTTGGTGGCGGCGCCTTTTTCCAATTAAAATTTGTCCACGGCGCCCTGACCTAAGTTAAAGTATGACTATTCATGTCTTGGTTAAATTAATTATGAAGCTTTTATAATATTTCGCTGCGCACCTGTCGCGACTTCCCCGGGGCGCCACAGCGCACAGTTTGGGAATCACTGGTGTATATACATACATATATCCTAATTATAACCAAGATGGGTTTTGTAGGATATCATTGTTTAACTTATCGATACTACTACTTCTCCAAAATGACAAATTATTTCAACAAAATTTTTTTTAAACAAATATTAATATCCAATAATGTATTATATAAAAACAAACAAACCAACACACACACGCGCACACACAAACACCAAATTATCATAATGGTAATAAAGAGCTCCCTATGTGGGTTTCAGTGCCCTTTTATAGGGAAAACAAGAACAGATCCACTGCCTACCCACAAGCATGTCATAAGAGTCAACTAATTGTGAGTTTCCTTCAAAGTTGGAGTGCATCTGCCTGAGAAGCAAGGAACCAACAGTCTGCACACAAATGCCAGATGTACCATGTCACTGCCGCTTCTGGCCATTCTGTCCGCAATTTCATTGCCTTCCAAGCCACAGTGACCTGGAATCCACTGCAGTTCAGATTGTTCTACTCCTTCAAGAACTGAATATTGAAGAAGGTTGGCTCTTAAAGACGATAAACACATAAAACTGAAATATTTTGGTCACTTGAATGGTCAGGATAGTTTAAAGAGAACAATAATGGAGGGGTATACACCTGGGAAGAGAGGAAGAGAAAGGTCAAAGAGAGGATGGGTGCAGGATTTGGCGTACACATTATGCCAAGTCGCTAAGTACAAACAATTTTTCTTGAGACACAGTTGTTGAGTTGTTCTCATATCAGTTTTGTAAATTCTATTTAGCTGTGGAAATTATCTACTCCCTTAATTTTTCTAAGGCCCCTGCAAATTGTGAGGCCCCTGCAGATATGACGCCTTAACCAGTAGCTTGTTTAGCTTATATCTAAATACAGCACTGAGTTCAACGCACACCTGTGTATATTTCCTTATATATAGTAATTTAATTTAATGATGGTATGCATCAACTGTGTTCCCTCCAGGTTATCCCTGACTGCTGTGGCCTTTAGGGTGTCACACTTATAACTTCCTTCAAGGCTGAACAGGGTATCTGGGACATGCCCAGTTAGTCTGACATCCAGACTGGGATTTTCGAATCCCTAGGTGTTACACTTTGATGGAGCAACACGAAGTGGGAAAAACTGCAGGAACGCACGCAATGATGGTATGCTTGCTTTCTGTATTCAAAACTACTACGACGCAATTGAATAAGATTCTCCAGAGAGAAAGTACATCTTCTTTTGTGGTCTTTGTGGTTAAAATTGTTTTTTTTTTTTCTGCCAATACATCGTTAGAACGTTGTCCGAATAATAAATAATAGTCTAGCAAAGAAAGAGCGATCAAGAACTGCTTCGTCGTCTAGCCTAATGTTTGTTAAACAAGCGGGTGTTACAACATCAATAATGTAAATACATATAGCAACAGTTGGCCAAGTTATTTATTATTTAATTTATCTGCTCATAATAAACATAACATTAACTGTCTCAGTAACTGAATTTACTTTACTGTCCACTCACAAATTAGAGAATTCGGCCCGAAAATTCAAAATCATACAGTTTAGTTTAGTTTATCTTCCACTTTTATGAATTTCTGTCCTCAAAACGACAACTAAACAAACCAGACTAACCTGGCAGTAGTTTTCTGTGCATACCAGACAAGACCTAGGAATGGTAAACAAGGTCCTTTCTTATGTAACGTATCGATCGACTGTCGACGGTCCATGTTTGATGTACGTTGGAGCTGCGACCAGACAACAGTACGTCTGCTAGGATGTTTACTTTCGCCTGCGCGGGTACTTCGCATGGCTGGAGTGGAGCTCCTGTCGTTTATAGAGGAGGAAATATAAGGGAAAACAGTTAAAGGACCCTTTTACGCCCTTGATGCCTAGGGCATCATAGGCACCTGAACTTGGCGGTTGAGGTCCTTTGATGCTTAGCCCCTCTTCCAAATAATTCGAATTCACATAAGCTCTTTGCTGAAAGTTTACAGACGAGATCGCAACCTTAAAGACATACTTGTCCGAAGCCGACTCCCACCGATCCATACAGCACTTCCTCTTGGGACTACTCAGTGCTCACGCAGCACCTGCAAAACATGTCCTTTCGTTGTCCAGACTTCTTCGGTCAGTTTCCCTAATGGTTCTTTTCAAATTAGGGAACCTTTTACTTGCGAATCCCGCAACGTAATTTATGCAATTATCTGCAAACGATGCAGCATGGCATACATTGGGGAGACTGGCAGGAAGCTAGCTGATCGTTTCCGGGAACACCTCTCTGATATCGACAAGAAGACACTCAAACCAATCCCTCTTCATTTTAATAGCCCTGACCACAGCGGTAAAGATGACATATCTGTCACAGCATTAAAATCTTGCTCTGGCGATCATACTACCCGCCTCGCTTTGGAAAATCGCCTTATCCACAGCCTTGGCGTTCTTAGTCCAAGAGGTATCAATATCCAACATACCTTCATCTAAATAGTTCTAATCTTATTACATTTTAAATGTTAATTATTTTATTTTATTTCATATTATTACCATATTCTATTTCTTATCAATATCATTTATGTATCATTAACACTTGCATTTCTTTTATTCCCAGTATTGTGACTATATTTTTAAGCCATAGTTTATTTTATTTTATTTCATTTATTCCGCATCACATTTTTTAAACGTCGCTCACGTCACCCCTTAGAGATCTACATACTCTCCATTCCTCTTTTGTGTAGTCCACTTGTGTTTGAAAAAGGCTGCCTGGCCGAAACGTTACGTTGTGTTGTTTTGTGCACGTTTTCCTTTTTCCCATTTTGTTGAGCTTTTTAGTCAAATTTCTCTGGAATTCATTGTATTAGCTTGACTGCAGTCACCCCCATAGTTTCACCATCTTTGCTGAAAGTGGCTCAGACCAGCGACTTCAAGTGATTTATAATGACTTCTCAGGGTAACAGATATCAGCTACCTGAATGATACTGTTATATCTACGTCTGTCGTAACTTCGTCTGAGTGTCTGTTGTTAGTTAGTTAGTTAGCTAGTTAATCGAAAGATTGTCCTCTCGGCACATCTGACAAATCCATAAGCGCTCGGATCCCATCTTCAGTATATTCTTCAGCGTGTGGCGACTGATAATATCAGTTCCGTGTTGGTTTACTATTCTTCATTGGCTACCTGTATAGTGTTCATGTTTGGCAAAAACCTCTTCT